GGCCCTGTCGTAAACTTCTAAAGTTTACTACAGAATATTTTTTTTAAAAAATTTTTTAAATATTTCAACCCATCGATAGTAATAGGATGATTTAAGATAACGAAATAAATAAGAAAGATTTCAATAAAATGTCTAACTAAGATAAGTTGAATTCAACAAAGACGTTTAGACAACAGAAGGAAACTAAGGACGTAAGAGTAGATCAATTATGTGAACTTATTAGTCATAAGAGTCTAGAGAAATTTTCATTTCAGACGGCTGATGGAGGGCCAACCATTATGCTAGAAAGGCTCATGTCAACTGAACAACAAGATGTTGAACAGTGGTGCAGTAAGTTTGAAAGAACTATGACCTTATGTGGATATAGTGAAGAGATTTAATTAGGTTATTTAGAGACACTTATAGGACCTGAAATAGAAAAGGAAACTAGAAGTACAAGAACTTTAAAGACTAAGTTAGAAGCAATTAAGAGTCTAGTGTATAATTCAGAAAATTATGCAAAATATGTGAGAGAATTAAATTCTATAACAGTTGGAAGGTACAATTCAGTTATAGATTATAGTAAAGTAATAGATGAGACAATTAGAAAGATAAATCTTTGTGCAAAAGGATTAGATAAATTTGGGAAACAACAAATTGAAGAAAAATTTAAAACAGGTCTCTGTGAATGGATGAGAAAAGAGTATATAAGATTAGAAGGTATGACTAGAGAGAAGAAAGTAGGTGTTTTAGCTGAATTAGAAGAACAGGAGAAAATAAGTAGAAGAAGGAGAAATCAAAAGAAAGATTATTATAAACCATCTAGAGGATATAATAACCAAAAAGGGAATATTTATAATGATAAAAGAAATGAAGGTATGAAAATGATAAAGGAGGTGAACCATATACCTTCAAAGATTATTTTAAACGGTAAAATAAAAAATCAAGATATTGACATATTGATTGATATTGGTGAAATAAATTCTTTTATAAAGGATTCGAAAGAGATTAAAGGAACTGAGTTTGAAGTAAGTAAGCCATTTTAGTAGAAATAGCAAATGGAGAAAAGGAAGAATTGAAAAGAGGTAAAGAAGTAAAATTAGAATTAAATCAAATACCAAGTACATATTACAAGGTTAATTCTCTAGTATTTCCAGGTTTAAAGGAAGATATAACATTTGGAATGGAGTTTATGAGTCAAAATAACGTTTTAATTGATATGAAGGATGGACTCATAAGAATTGAAGATAGGTATTTAGAGATTCCAGGATTAACGGTAAATGATGAAAATGATTGTGATTTAACTGTATTGGAGCAGTTCAAAAAAAAATAGATGATAAACCAACTATTGAAGAAATAGTTAAAGAAGCTAAGTTAAATAATCCTACAAGGATTGATTACAGGAGGTGAATTTAAAATTGAACTTTTTGATGATAAACCTGTACAGTGTAAGATGTATGGAATACCAACAGGTTTGCATCCAGCTTTGAAAGAAGAAATAGTTGACTTAAAACAAAGAGGAATTTTGGTTAATAGTAATTCTAATTATGCATCGCCTTGTTTTCCGTTACTTAAAAAGAATGGAACAGTTAGAATTATTGTAGATTATAGGGAACTTAATAGGAAAACGGTTTGTGAAATATATCTCTTTCCAAATATGAAGGATGTTACTGGTAGTATTAGAGGAGGAAAGATATTTAGTGTAATTGATTTAATAAAGGATTCTATCAAATTCCTATTTCAAAATCAGACTGTCATAAGACGGCATTCATTTGTCCATTAGGACATTTTGAATTTACTCGTTTACCTTTTGGTATGAAAAATGCACCTCAATACTTTCAAAAAGTAATTGCAATGTTGCTAGAAGAATATAGTTTTGCTGCTGTATTTGTTAATGATATTATTATATGGAGCCCAGATGAAGAAACACACGTCGATCATGTCAAAGAGGTTTTTAAAACTCTCCAAAAAAAAATAATGTAAGTGTGAACTTTGAGAAAAGCGTTTTTAATAAGAGAGAAATAGAGTATTTAGGATTAATTATTGACAAAGATGGATTTAAAGCGAATACCCAAAAAGTTTCTATTATAAGAGCAAAAGAACCACCTAGAACAAGAAGACAGTTACAAAAACTGTTAGGATTCTTTAATTAGTTCAGAGGTTATTTGGTAAATTTAAGTGAAAAAATTGTTCCATTAACAGATTTATTGAAGGTAGAAAAAATTTTATGGACAGAAAAACATGAAGAAATAAGACAAGAAATATTTGAAATGATTGAAAAAAGTGTAAAATTAAGTTTTCCTGATTATAATGGTGTGTTTAAACTTTATACTGATGCTTCAGATATAGCTATAGGAGGTGTACTGACTCAGAAAAACAAGGTAATAGGTTTTTTTAGTAAAAAATTTAATAATACAGAAAAGAACTATTCTATCGTAGAAAAGGAACTTTATGCAATAATATGTTCTATGAAACATTTTAATGATATAATTTGGACTGCTGAAATTATAATATTTACTGTTAATAGGAATATTACGTGTTTAAAACATAATCAAAATAGTAGAAATTATAGATGGAAGGTGTTTTTAGCACAATATAATTGTGAAATTAAGCATATTAATGGAATTAGTAATCAGGGTGCTGATTACCTGATTAGAATGTTTAAAATACAAGAAGAAGGCTTAGAAGAAAGGTTGCTTATTTCTAATACATTAGAAGGTTATGATAATAATTATATTTTTAATGAAGAAGGAACTAAAGTTGATCAAGTAGGTAGATTAATGATTTTAGATGAAATTAAAGACGAAACTATCAGAAGAGTGTATATAGAGTTAATGCATGCAGGTATAATAGAATGTATTATACTTTAAAGAGATATTGGTGTATAAAAAATTTAAAGAAAGTGATACAGAGAACTGTAAGGGGATGTAATGATTGTGCACTTTTTAAAGATGATAACAGAAAATTCGGTTTGTTACATGGAAATTTACATCATACAAAACCAATGGAAAAATTTTGCTCTGATATTTTTGGACCTATAAATGCTTTAAAAAATGGAGAGGTAAGAAAAATGTATATAATTACATTTATAGATCGATGTACAAGAATTTTAGCTTTAGCGAGTCTTGAAAAAATTGACAGTTATTCTATTATAAGTGCATTTGAAAAAAATGGTTAAATATTTATGAAAAACCAAAGGAATTATTAACTGATCAAGGAAGAAATTATGTTAGCCAACAATTTAGAAAGTATTGTGAAGAAAAAGGAATTAATTTAAAACATACAACTGCTTACAACCCAACTGGAAATTCTATTGCAGAAAGAGTAAATCAAGAATTAAGATTAGGTGTTAGTATACTACACAATAAAGAGATAGATGATAATTTAGCAAAGATTGAATTTGCTCATAACAATGCATATCATTCGACTTTAAGAATAAGTCCTAATGAATTTTTAAATGGATATTCACCTTACAATTTAAGTAAAATAAAAATTGAAAGAGAATTGGGTGTAATTAACCAAAGAGCAATTGAATAGAGTGAAGCTAATTTAATTAAAAGAAATGAAAAAAGGCAAATAGATATTAAGTACAAGATTGGAAATTGGATACTTTTAAGAAGTACTGATACTGGGAAGCTAAATCCAAAGTATGAAGGTCTTTACAAAATTTTTGATGTTATTGAAGAAGCTGATAATATTTTATTAGATATGAAGTATAAAGAGATGTGGGTAAATTTGAAAAGAATAAAGCCTTACTGTGGGGAGCAGGATGTCGTAAACTTCTAAAGTTTACTACAGAATATTTTTTTTTAAATTTTTTTTAAAATATTTCAACCCATCGAAAGTAATAGGATGATTAAAGATAACGAAATAAATAAGAAAGATTTCAATAAAATGTCTAACCAAGATAAGCCCAAATCAAAAAATTCTAGTATTCTACCTCAAGGGACCCCAATCGAAGGAGTACCGTTATTTCTTTAGGTCTGCCAAATCTAATTTTATAATCAATAAAATGTTTCATTTAATATAATTTTTGTATTGATTGTAAATAATGCTTTTGCTTACAGTATTTTCATCATAAACATTATTAATTTCTTAAAAAGTTTCAGTTACGATAGTTTTTTAAAATTGAAGAAATACATC